AGTTTTGTTTTGTGTTTGTCTTTGTTTACAGTTATTCTGAAGTCAAGGTTATGCCTTCTGAGCAATACGTTCACCTGAATCTAAAACCACTGTAGGCTGACGGTGCAGACATTCTCAACCTCTCGCACTTGTTGTACTAGTAGCTCTGAGATGTCCTCCTCCTCATTCCCCTCCTCCATCAGCAGTCAGCATTTGTAGTTACTGCAGTGCCCAAATCTTCCGAACAGGCTTTAAACGTTGGGATGACGTTTGCTCGCTTGATGGCGGTCAGGTTCCTTTCTCCATGGGTCTCGTACATGTAGGATTCCCGCAGTGGAATCACCGTGTTTTCATCCCGTGCCAGGAATTGTAGAGATGTTGCTTCACTGTTCTAAGGGAGCTACTTCTTAAGTGGAGCCTCTGAGGCGCTAGGCCCTGATGGAGGTTGTCAGGTTGGGATGATCCATCCTGAAAGACAACCACCTCTTCTTGCACTATCCACCACTCCCCCTTCCCACATAGCAAGTAGTCTGCCAGCCGCTCGCAGTATGCTTGCAATTCCTTTTAAAACTTGATGATCTGATGTACAACAAGCGAGTCCTCAATACCCATCTGCTGCACCTTGGCTGCTTTGGAGACAATGCTTGGCTGGTATGTCGTTAATTGTCCCTTAGTCATTGCGCATCACATTCCCCCTCCCCCATGTAAGCCTTTGCAAAACCATTGGCACTTCAGTAGCAGGGGGAGTGAGATAAACAGGTTTACTTTTTGTTCATTGATTCAGAGATGATCAACATTAACGCTCCTGTAGAACACAATCTCATAAAACACTACCCCCATTAAACACTACTCAATTTTAACTAAAGTTAGCTTACCGCAAGCGAATACAAGACCAAATATACGGTCATCGATTACACATAATAATCGTTCAGACCTATTTCAAACAATATCCTTTGGGTTTCTTGGTTGTCAACCAGGAAACACATATTTCTGTCTTTTTTTGGGGGGGGAGCTCATGGTTTTGGATGACATTGGTATTGTAACACATCATACACCTAGGGTGAGCGACGAATTCAATTCCTTCCTTGAAGTGTCTTGGCCATAGCCTGGTTTCGTGTCAGTCTCAATCCTGGGAATAATGACAGACTGGATATGGAAACATTGTCAAACGTCTTTTTTAAAGGAAATTTTGGTCACAGATGACGCGCCTTGACGTCCTCTGTTTTGTCGCTTCTGCTTTTTGTAATATCTACTTCTGTTAACAACTATTTGTTATTCAACGCGAGAGTAAAGTTTTCAGTTTCACATTGCCATTGGAAACATGTTCACATTTCTGGTCCTTTGCATATTATACCCTTTGCTACACTTTTGGAAGTAATAACGAAGCTCTTCCCCAAAAACCCTTTTTTTTTGTAGAGTGCAGATATATATGGATGGTAGCAGGTCTACACACGTCTGCGCTCTCGTGCAGGAATAGGCAAGCAAGGCTATATTAGCGGCCAGAAAGTCGCTCTATCTCGCCCAA